CCAGCCTACACCCATCAACATTTTTTCCTTTTCTTAACTAGTAGTTTCCACTGGCCACTGAATTGATAGCTACACACCCATCATTCTGATTGCCCCAAAGGATCCTGCCAATTGCATGTGAGTCACAGGAAAACACAACTAATGAGTTAGGTAAAACACAATTGTGAAACATTTTCCTTAACAAAGTTCTTTTCAAGAACTTTAATGAGACTAATTTACAATGGATGGACCTAAAGGCTCTGTGTACTCTTTGGCAATTGATATATATATATATATATTTATCTATACATACATATGTATACACACAGCTGATGAAAGCTGCTTCTTCTGTGCAAGGGCTTAGCGGAACATCACTATGACATTAGCAGCTACAATCATGTTCTTCCTGACCTCTTAAGTTTCCTTGAACCTACAAATCATTGTTAACCACATAAAGTGGAGTTTTAAATTTTATTTAATGATATATTTGGGCTGGGGTATGGCTCAAGTGGTAAAGTGCTTACCTAGCAACCACAAGGCCCTGGAGTTCAAACTTCACTATGTACCCCTCCAAAAAACTCTAATCACAAGCATCAAAGACTGCCTCCTTGCATGCTTTAGTCAAACTAAACAAATGAGGAATGTACACTTCCAGAAACATACTGCATTAAAAATCATTTATTTCTATAAATTATTTTTAAATGGCTTACTTGCAAAAAAAAAAAAAAAAGCATATGTTATTGTTCCATTGTCTCAGTGTGAAAATTTGACTCACTGTAATTCCCAGTGATCTCCTTGTAATTGACCCCAGCAGTCATTAGGTGGCTCTGTTACTATACAGTTCAGACTACAGAGGCCAAGAGTTAAAAGGATTGCTACAAGATGGCTTGACATGTAAGGGTCAGAAAAAGCAAAGTCCAGCATACAACCATCAACATTTCTCCTTTAAAAAAAAAAAGTTCTGATGGTTAATCTTGATTTTTCAACTTGATTAAATTGAGAGATGCCTAGGAAGTTAGTAAAGAAAACTTCTGGGTGTGTCTGTGAAGGCATTTCCAGAGACAGTTGGCACATGGGACAGCAACTGAGGGGAAAGACCTGCCCTGAATGTGGGTGGCACCATCCAATAAGTGAGAAGCCTCCATGGAACAAAAGTGATTGAAGGAGGAAGATAGCCAGAAGTACAAGCTTCATTTTCCTGAGCAAGTGCATCTACTGCTGCTGCCATAGCCTGTGGACATCAGACTCCAGCTCCTCCTGTCTTTCTTTATAATCATGTAGTGTGTGTGTGTGTGTGTGTGTGTGTACTGGGGGTTGAACCCAGGGCCTCATGCATGCTAGGCAACCACTAAACCACAGAGCTATATTCCAGCCCTTTTTATTTTATTTTGAGACAAATTCTAAGTTGTTCAATTGAAAGATGAAATATCTTTAGTAGTATCTTAAGCACATTACTTAATTTCTTTTTATTCTGGAACAAAGAGAAAAGGGGCTTCATTATTTTCTAAATAAATTTACTGGTACCTGAAGTGAGGTCATGAGAAAAAGATGTTCAATTTTGAGAACAGTGCCAGAATAGTTCATGATAACATTTTAAATTTGTTAACCCTGACTGCATAAAGTAAAAAACTAAAACATAAGTTATGTCAACTAAAAAAAAAAAAGAAAGAAAGACTGCTTTGAGTAGAGAGTGCTTGGGCTGCCTGTTCTCACAGGGTCACCTCAAGAAGTATTTCCTATATCCAGTTATCCAGACACTCAGAAACTACTAAAGCCATGGTCAAAGGGGACTTAGCTACTGTTTGAGCTGGCAGCAGACCTTGGTGTCATTCACATGATGTTAGTTTTGCAGGCATGCAAAACTACAAGAGTCATGGAATCATGAAGGCTTCCACCCAGATCTCAGGAAATGTATGGCAGGGTCAGAATTCCTGTGAGCAACCCCTAAGAAGGTGATGCCTGATACTGTGAGAGAAAAGCCAAAGCTGCAATGGAGACAATGCACACAACAGTGGAATGTCTGCTGAGGAAATCCACAGGCAGTGAGTGAAGTCAGTCAAATAGAGAGGCCATGTAGCCAGCAAGGTCATAGGGCTCACATCCCTACTACCACATGCCCTCATGCTAAACAGGTAGCTACAAGATTTAATGTTTACCCTCCTGAGTTGCAGTCTTGCTTTGGTCCCATCCTTCCTTTCTATACCTCTATTCCTCCCTTATGGAATGGGAATGTTTAGTCTGTGCCACTGTGCCACTGCTGACAGTTTGCCTTGAGTCTCAGAGGACACTTTGGACTTGAACAATGTTGGAACTGTTAAGACTGTGGGGATTCTTGGAGATGAACTAAATGAATCTTGCATTATGAGGTGAACATGAACCTTTGGAGGCCACAAGCAGAATGTTATGGTTTGGATATGAAATGTCCCCAAAAAACTCATGTGTTGAAGGCTTGGTCCCCAATGCAATGTTCAAAGGTGGAGTTTTGGGGAGGTGATTGGATCATGAGGCCTCCAATCTAATCAATGTATTAATCCATTGATGGATTCATAATTTGATGGCATTATTGGAAGGTGTCAAAACTAAGAGGTGGGGCCAAGTTGGAAAAAGTAGGTTGCTGGGAGCATGCCCTTGAATGGTGTATCTCATCCCCAGGCCCTTCCTTTCTCTTTGCATTCTGCCTGCCATAAGGTGAGCAGCTCTTCTCTGCCATGTTCTTACACCATGATGTGTGCCTTGCCATGGACCTAAAAGTAATGAAGCCATCTGACCACAGACTAACATCTCTGAAACCATGAGCCAAAACGTGTCTTTCCTCCTTTAAATTGATTTTTTCATTGTCACAGCAATGAAAAAAACTGAGTAACACAAAAGTCCTTGATTTTCACAAGGTCCTCCATTTTCACCCACTTAGTTACCAGTTACCAAAATGTAAATAAAACACAATGAATGTCACAAGATTTCACCATAAAATGACTCAATGTTCATGCAATCTTTTTATGATGTTGTATATTGAATTGTGTTCAAAAATGTATATTATGTAAGGAATTTAACAAAGGCAAAGATTGTTATGAGTATTCTGTAAAGTGCTTTAATCCCACACTGTCAGTACTAATAAATTTTATTTTTATTTATTTTTTTTAAAGAGAAGAGAAAGATTTATTGGCTGCAGCAAATAAGGAGATCATGAGTCATTTCCAAAGCAATGCCCTTCTCAAACAAAGGAAAAATGGGATTTAATGCTCGATAAATTTTAAATAGCCAAAAATGAAGTTACAGATTCTGACATCTTACTCTGATAATGTTAGCTCTATTAGATTTTGATCCAAAGTCTGTGAATAAATTCTGGAGGAGTTACTTTGTTGTTTGCAGTTTGGTATACATAAAAAGTTTTCTTAGGTACCTGCCACATATCCTGCTAACTCTTTTTTTGATGTTATTGTTGTTGTTTTATCAAGGACTTAGATCTATTATGTCTTTTAGTTTTTCATAGGAATTTATGGCTATGAGTGAAATCAAGAATTCCAATTCATTTAACTTGGAAAATGCATCAAAAGCAGATTTTCATTTTGTATGAGTAGATATTTGGTTTTCTGAATCTATCCACTTTGTATCAACAGTATAATAACTAAGCTGACTTGTTATAAACTTCTTTCTAGGTCAGAAGGATGTATATGTGACTTCTTAAGTCAGTTCTCAAACATGAGCATGCAGCAGAATCACCAGGAGGGTTTATTGAAATACTGATTGCTGGGCTCCACCTCCAAATTTTCTGATTCAGTATAGTCAAGTGCCATGTTAGAATGTTTTGGTTGACACACAGTATATGACAGTGGTCTTACAAGAGTATAACAGAATTTAAAAATTTCTGTCATCTACTGATATAATTATGGTAATGTGCTATAACTATTCATGTGTAAACAAACCTACTATGTTTCAAGTCAAAGTATAGCACATATTGTTATTCAGTATAAAATCTTGATAATGATAATAAACAACTATGTTACTGGCTTATGTATTTACTATCCTATACCTTTATCATTATTTCAGAATATATTCCTTCTACTTATTAAAAAAATAATAATCCAAGCTACTTGAGAGGCAGAAGCAAGAGGATCAGGAAAAGGCCAGTTTGAGCAAAGTTAGCAAGACCTTCTCCCAAAAACAAAATATAAAACAAAAGGGCTGAGGGCATGACTCCAACACTTACCTAGTATGCATGAGCACCTGGGTTCAATCCCTAGTATCACACAAAGAAAGAAAAGTTTACTGTAGAACAGTATGCCATATTCCACTGGCAACAACCTCACACATCTCATGTTTACCCTGTCTCTTTTTTTGCTTCAAGAGGTCACATGGAGTGATTGACCTGTGCCATCTAGGTTTGAGTACATTCTATGAGGTTCCCCCAATAGCGAAACTTCCAAACACATTTCTCAAAACACATGACTGTAGTTCTGGGTTGGAGCCTGTCAGTTTTCATTCCTAACAAATTTCCAGTGGTATTAATGTCGCTGGTCCTCAGACCACATTTTGGCACCCATTACTTTAACTTAAAGTTAGGCATGTAAATGTTCCTATAAATAAGTTGCCATGCCAGGCATGATGGTACATGCCTGTAATCCTAGTACTCAGGAGGATGAGGCAGGAGGATCACAAGTTTAGGCCTGGGTTATATACCCCTTCTCAAAAAACAAATTGCCAGTAAGCCTTCACTCATTTATATGATTCCCACAAATAAAACCTAGGCTACATTGGCAGCCTATTCTGTCAAAGTTGAACAAGTTCCTAAATAATCCCCAATTTAAAAAAAAAAAAAAAAACTCTTAGGACAGTAATAACTTCACTCAGAAAATACTAAGTCTAAGGAAAAGTTCTGGATTCTAAAGCAGCTTCAGTTCCCATAGTAGTCATCATTCTGTTACACTTGGAAATACGCTTGTTCTAAAATAATCATTCATGAAGAAATGACAGTTATCTTTTCAAAGGAAACAGAAATAACAACACAGGAAGCATGGGGTTGCCTTATGCCAATTCTTTTTGTAAAGCACATTTAATTCACGGTTGCACAAACGAGGAGGTGGTGAGGTCGTTGGGAAGGCACTTAAGTCATTTCAATGAGGAACACTTAACAGAGAAGTATCTTAACATCTTGGACAATCTAGAAATATATGAGAGGTAAATACTGACTCCTAATACAGCAGCTTATCAGGAGTGTGCAGTTTCCCAGTATTGTCCACAGACCCTGAGACTGGACATAAATTACCTCCAAAAGAGCTAGGCACAATCCCTTTGCAATGTGTTGTGTGATGGCAGGTGACTATCTAGATGTTCACTCTACATAATCCCAAAACTGACAGCTATTCACTGCAGTTATCCCCACAAACTGGCAAACAATTCTGGTCTTCAGGCCTATGAGTTCATCCCAGAAACTCAGACAATGATTTTTTTATCCTTTGGTACATTTTCTTTTTCCTTTGATATTGTTTGCTCATATAGAACATCTTAATAGAGAAAATGCCCCACCACTACTCTTATTGACTTGGCCTCAGTAGCCACAGGTTACAGTTAGTCTCTAATGTCCTTGGATTGTGACTACCTTTCCCCTTCCCCCATCTGTCCCTCTACCACATTCCCGTCTCCTACAGTAAGGGCAACTCATGGGCAAGATAGGGCTCGGTCATTTGCCTCAGTCCTAATTTCAAGGTTTATTATCAATGTCAACACCTGGATCAGCTGCTTCTTATTGATTTTTCTTCCCTAATTTGTGGATACAAATATATGCAAAGCCAACTAAGAAGAAATGACTAAGTGGGGTTGAAGCACTACATCAGAAGATGTACATGCTAACAAAAGATGGAGAAAGGGTTCCAAGAGGAGAGAATGAGACTGTCGTTAAGAAAGGTTATAGGAAATGACCTCTCTCTTGCCAAAGCCAGATCTCTCAGATCTCCCAACTAAAAAAATGAACACTAACAATATCCCATTGACTCTTCCTTTCAATGCTGGGGCTCAAATCCACGATATCACACATGTTAGACAAGCACTCTCCCTCTGAGTGACACTCTAGCTCTCCTACACATATACAGACTCTTGATTGCATGTTTGATGCCACAGTAAATCCCAGCACCTTGGAATGTTGGTACTGAAGCCCTTCAAGGTTGACTGGTCAAAGTCCATTATTTTCAAACTAGAAAATTGAACTCCAAAGTGAAGAAAGTGACTTGCCTTAATAAACATTAAAGATTCTTTAGCTGCAACACTGAGGCCAAGACTCAGATTTTCTGATCAGCAGACCACTGTTTATAGGTCTTTCCCTTGTCCTCAGCCAGTAGGGAGTTTGGTTTTTAATGTGGAATCCAGGTCAATACCAGTAGAGTAACTGCTCTTGCTGGGACAAAAAGAACAGTATCTGTCCTCCTCAGGAAAGGTACAATGTGTCCATACATTCATTCCCACAGGCTTCTAGAAAGACAGAGTTCTTTACAGACCCAGCAACTAGGCTGCAACTTACTAAGAAATGACGCCAACTAGGAATATCTGTATCTTACCCAAGTCTATGTGGTTTTTAATGCTCTACTTCTTTGTCCTCAAATAAAATTACAAATATAACACAAATATACCCGTTCCTTTAGATTAAGCAACTCACATCATGGTTTCAGGTGCCCTAATAAGAAAAATAAAATAAATTGTACTGTGACCTCCTAGATAAAAGACTGAGTTAAAATGAGGTTTGTCTAGCCCATAGGGGAATAGGCCATACCTGCTGATCTAACCTGCCATCATTCTGTGCTAGCACTTATACGCAGTACACTCATGGGAATGACTCCTTCCCAAGACACCCAAGAGGTAGGTAAATGCAGTCACCCCCATGGATGGGTGCAGCACAGAGAAGCACAGAGTTAGGTGACTAGAGTTGCCTGGGACCAGGGCAGAAGGACTGAAGGGTGGAGTCAGACCTCTGGCTCTAACCATAGCACTATCTTTGAAAGAAAAACATTTGGTCATGCATAGCAAATGTCTGCAACAGTGAGGGTATGGAAGCAGGAGATAAGAGATGTGCTGATCTAAGAATGACACTTCTAAATGAAACTCCAAGGTAGAATTGCCAATGAGGCAAATCTGAAGGGCTATAATTATGAGCTGAGGGATGTGGGCATACCTTGTCCCAGACCATGCATGCCCTTGAATGGCCCTGTCACCCTCACTCTCAACAGGTCAAAGAATTAGATTGCAAGGACTCCCCTTATAAGAGAATCACTGCTGGATTGAGGTGATGGCAAAAGTTTAAACTCTCCCTGCAGCCTGAGGTAAAGGAAGGGGACACAGGCACAGGTGAAACAGCTGAGCTGCAAAGCCCAGCAGTTCCTACCACAGCTGCTGAGAATCAGGCCCAAGAATCATAAACTTACAGACTCATGGTAGAACCAAGACTTGGCATGTCTTCCTCTGGAATGAGAGGCCTCAGCCCTGACATGGGGAAAAGGTCTGACATGAAATGCTGGCTTCTCAGTGAGGTAATGAAGAATACCTGCTCAGCTCCATAGGTCACCCTCAAGCTAAGCAGGAGATCCCTGCAGGAAGCAACCTTGGGACAAAGGCTGAGGAGCTCTGCCTATGGGGACACATTGAAAGTTTTAAATTACACATTTACACTCCTCTCTCTCTCTCTCTCTCTCTCTCTCTCTCTCTCTCTCTCTCTCTCTCTCTTCCACATTCTCCTATCCACCCTACTCCAAGCCCCAAATCCCATCCTACAAACATGTCTTCTGTAAACATGATGGCAGAGACTCCCACAATCCTGGGATAGTCTGACAATGATCTGAGGATGACCTCTTGTCTTTAAGTGCCCCGGTAGGTGATATTGGTGAAGGTGGAGGTGGCCTCTTTATACAGTGGGTTGTTGGCCTGCAGAAAGAAGAGAAAAGTGTCTTATAGTGAGCTCCTTGGTTCTGCCTTACCATGAAGGTGTAATGCTCATTTCACTCACATTTTTACTCTTAAGATGAGAATGGATAGGAAATAAAAGGAGGAGAGATGGATTGCCATCCTGCCACAATTTCAAAGATTTTTTAAATTCATCTCTTTTTGGCAATTCCAAAGCATTCTAGGATAGCTTTTACTCAGCCTCTCCTATTCCTCCTCTGTTTCCTCATTTTCTCTTTTACCCTTCTTCCTTTTTTTCCTTCATTGTGGCAGTGCTGGGCAATATGAGCCAGAAAGAGAAATGGTGTTTAGAACAAAGAGGCCAGTTTTTGCTGAAATAATTCTTAATTTGTTTTCATCTCTTCTCTTTAATCACTATTCACTATTCATGTTGATAGAGGAAAGTTAGCACGTCAGTAGGTTTCTAACACATTATTTTCCAACAACAAATCCCATAAGGTAACTAGTCCTTAGTGGTGCCTTCAAGAAACCCAAAACATTCTTATGTGCCTCAGAGGCTCAGGATATTCTTATGGTCCCAACAGAAACATCCTTGCTTTTTGGATACTTGGGTAAAAAACCCTGGGGTCACCATCAAGTGAGAACAAACTTTCAGCCTAATCTTGGACACTCAGGCAGTCAAATGGCCTTGGAGGGTACAGAAAAAAGTTAAAATGTGCAAGCTGAACCAGAGGGATTCTTTTCCAAAATATTTAGTCATCTAAAATTCTAACCCTATTGGAGCTGACTTCCTATTCAATCCTACTCAACAAGCAACGCAGACAGAAGTTATGTCATCCCTCTGAGGGTCAGTTCTATTCTTTGGTTAAGTATACAAAAATTTCACAATAAGTGCTTGTTTGGTTGGGTTAAATCAGGATAAACTACATGGAGCCTAAGAGAATAGCCAGATTTAGATGCTACCATCTCATCATTTGAGGGAAAGAAGAGAATGAGGTAGAATGACATATATATCCATCTACATAGATATACTACATCTAAAAGGCTGACCCCAAAAGTAACTCCTATAGTTACCTAATTCCTTCCTAAGCAACTTCTCTGCACTCAGTTTCCTTACCTTTAAAATGGGAATGATAATATTGCTCAGCCAGTGGGGATGAAAGAAGCTAATATCTAAAAAGCATTTGGAGCCGTTCTTGGCACACGATAAAGGCTCAGTAAATGTTGGCTGTTATATCTTTTTCCATTTGTGTTTAATGCTTTGGACATCATTACTACTTATATAGTGTATAGATAGTGTATTTTATATTCTCTGTGTACATTTGTCCTGTCTCCCTCAATGGGAGAATTTTTTTTCATTTATTCAGTGTCCCATTTGTGTCCATTTGTGTTCAATCAGTACATATGACATGGACAGTGGTCACTGTATAGTAAAGGATCAGGTGGTTTTCAGGAAGCTTAAAGACAATTAGACCATCTCCCAATTTCTAGAACTAAGGACAACTGGGAAACCACAGAGCTGGCTGAGCCTGACCACCATAAGCATCTGCCACTTCCACTTCAGATTCTTGAACCAAAGACTTAAGAAGACACCCTGTGCAGCCCAGCCACTTACTGTGTCCCATTTTGCTCTGGCTCGTTCTTCCTCAAATTTAGCAAACTCCTTCCGGTCATGGATGGTGATAAGGAGCTTCCAGATGAGGAGAGTAGCGAGGCCAATGAGCAGAATAGCCCCCATCACTGACAGCAGGACCACCAGGATGTCAGGGCCCTTGGGACACTCTGTGAAGCAGAAGCAGATATCAGGAATCACTGGAACTGACAACAAAAAAGTCTTCTTAACAAAGGAGGAAAGAACCAGAAAGACCTCTGAAGGAAACAGGATGGTCTTAAAAAAAATAAATTCATTAATATTTTTAAGGAGGGGTGCTCTTTAGGACAGCAATGATCTGTTCTGAGTGGTTTAAGTCAGAGTGCTCAAGATGGCCACCGCTGGACAGAATTTATTCCATTCATTGTGAATTCACCCCAGTGTTTATTTTAAAAATTGATTTGGGGACTGGGCTGTAATTTAGTGCTAGAGTACTTGCCTAGTATCCATGAAGCTCTGGGTTACATCCCCAGCACTGCAAACACACACACACACACACGCACATGCACACACATGCACACACACGCACACACACCAGGTAGAGTTGAGAGCAACCAATCCTTTGCCAGAATCCTCATCATTCTCCCTTTTTCCCCCTAAACAGAGGTAGTGTGACTTGTCCTTGTGTCTGTGCTACTGTGCCCTCCAGGGCCAGATTGCCTGGGTTTGAATTCTGGTTTAATATTTACTTTGCTATGTAATCTTCAGTAAACGAACCTTTCTGGGTATCTGTTTTCTGTTTCTCCCTCTTTAAAATGGAGACAGTATTTGAAGTCAAGTTAAAAACTTGCTATGAGTAATAATTAAACTAACTGTACTAAAGAATTCAGAAGATGGAAAAAATGAGACCTGTTGAAACTGTTTCAGGAATTGGCGGAGGGGATAAAGGAGAATGATGGAGGGGGTGAATTCTACTACGATATATTATAAAAACTTCGGTAAATGTCACAATGTATTACCAGTACAATGATTAAAAAATATATAACTAATTAAAAAAAGAACTTAGAACAGTGCCTGGCACAGAATAAGTGCTCAATAAATATCAGCTACCATCGTTACTGATGTTCTTCTTATACTTGCTCCTTCACTAATTAATTTGCCTAGTTAGGCCCTATTGGCATTTGTGTCTGTTACCCTGGTTCAGATATTTACATCCTTGAGGGCTGTGAGCCCAGTGACCTTAGAGACCAGGAGGCCTGCCAGCCAAGACAATATTTTAGATTCTTTCCTGAAATACTTAGCCATCTAAAATCCTAACTCTATTGGAGCTGACTTTCTGTTCAACCCTCGTCAACAACCAAAGCAGACAGAAGTTATGTCAATCCTCTGAGGGTCAGCTGATTATACTCTGCAGAGTTGTTTCCCATAAGCCTCAGGTATCTGACAAGTGATCTCACTCTGTAACCTCAAGTGTTATGAAACTAGGTGTTTGTATATATAAGTATTGATGAGTCTGGAGAAGAAGTCACATCTACTTCCCACACTATCTCCCACCTTTGTCTCTAAACATACACCATGTGCTCACCACACACTATACAAAAACAACCACCACCACAAACCAAGCTGGCTGTTTCCCAACCCACCAAATTATAACCTGTCTGTAATTAAAGGAGTGCCTGGAGAAAGGCTGTGAGGTTCCAGTGTCTGAAATCCCAGGAGCAAATGACCCCAGTTCTGGGAAAGGGAATTATGAACATTCTGGAAGGTTGGAATAGGGCTGAAATCTCTAATTATACATGGTGATACAGACAGGACCGGTAGAATTTCCGGAGGTCTTCAGGGGACCCTGTTACCCAGCTGTCTCAATGGGAGTTGGGGTCAGGCTTCTGGGAAGCAGAAGATAAGATCAGGTGATCTCTGGAGACCCCTCCCAGTCACAGCAGTGAACCCACAGTGAGTGACCAAAGGTCAAGGAAGTCTGGCTAGGGTTGGCAGATTTGGCAAGCAAAAGTAGAGGAATCCAGATAAATTTGATTTTCAGATAAATAAGCTGCTTTTCAATTTAAATATGTACCAAATATTGCATAGAACATACTGTATTTTGTCTGGCAACCTTATCTGGGAATGAAGAGGACCCAGCTCAGGAACCATTCCATGTGGCTAAATCCCTCTTGGCAGATACCTAGCCATTTGGCAATATTCCCTTTACTGCCCAGCATTGGCTCAGCCCTTCAAAGAGTATCTGTAGAGCCATGAGTTGGGGAAGAGAAAGAGAATGATCTTCTATGCTCCAAAACTCCAACTGTACGTTCTCCTCAAAGACAGAGCCCCTGGAAATGGTTGAGGGTGGGTGGAGGGAGAGTCAGTCAGGCAACCAGATAGAAAATGTGAGTCTCTGGGGGAGGGGTATGGTTCAAGGTTAAGTTCTTACCTTTATCTCCATCCAGGGCATGAGGCCCTGGATTCCATCTCCAGCACCATAAAATAAAAAGGAAATGTGGGTCTCTGGACCTGGGGTCCCATATCCTAATGTAGAGGAAGAGGTATGCTAGCAAAGAGTCTGGAAAACTATCCCCAGGGTTATCTGACTCATTCCAGGTTATCATCATCTCTGTTCCTCATACCCTCAGAAAGCCTCAAAATCCCAAGACAAATGATTGGGCTGGCAGAGTGGCTCAAGTGGTAGAGTGTCTGCCTAGCAAACTTGAGGCCCTGAGTTCAAATCCCACCACTGCCAAAAAAAGAAAAAGATGCCAAGACAAATGATTGGATAAATGGTTCAGCAGGAGTGCCAGAAAAACAATTGCAGCAAAATGACAAAGTAATTATAGGGACAAAGGAACAGATAACATGGAGGCAGAAAAATGCATTCTGTGTGTTAATGTGGGTGGGTGGGAATGTGTGACAAAGTCATGGTCAAATCAATCCACATCTGCTCCCTCAGGGACATATCCCCCAACTCCTCTTTCTTCTACCCCCTCATCAGCTTTCCTTGGAATCACTAAATAAAATTAAGGTGATGTCCTTTTTTAACCATCCTTGGCCCATATAAAGGGTGAAAGCTCTGGAAAGACTGATGAACAATTTCCCAAATGGGAGCACCACACTCTCCTCAACCCTGAGACAGCAACATCCTAGACGATGTATTTGTGGCAGCCCCTTCCTAAGCACAGGTGACCCAAAGTAGCTCTTTGACCTTCCTATTTCCTTTTTCCTACCTTCATCCCTTTCCTTCCCCCAAGCAGCCAAAATTCTAGCAAGTACCAAGATGTATATAAGCCTACTTGCACCTGAGAAACAATCAGTTCTACTAATTCATTCAAACTCCATTTATTAAATATCTTCTCAGTAGGTGACTAAGTACAGGTATACAATACCCAATAAAACAGACATGGTTCCTGCATTCATGGGGCTTATAATCCACTGAACAGGTGATTAAAGAAGCAGTTTGATCCTAGAGCAATGAAAGTTCTTCTAATGGAAGCACAAATGCTATGAGAAGCAAACAGAGGTACCAAACCTAGTCTTTACACACTTCCCAGCCTTGGGTATTTTGTTATAGCACAGAAAAATGGTAAAGACAGAAGCAATGAAGGTGGTAAGGGAAAGCAAACAAACCTATAGTGTCGGATGGTGACAACCCTGTGGTTGGTCTGTGTGTGATGGGATAGACTCCTCTGGCTTCTAGAGGGCCTTCAGGGAAAGCACTATCTTGTCAGTGTTCAAGACAGTCTTGACTTAACCCACTGGAGAAAATCTCAGAAGGCTCCTCAGGGGAAGTGGTGTGTCTAAAGCAGAGGCACTCAAATGTTAGGGTGCATCCCAAAAACCAGGAGCACCAGTAAAGAACACAAAAGCAAAGCCTTGGAGAGATTGGGCAGTGCTCCAGACTCTGGATTTTTAACAAGAAGGCATACCAAAGTTTGAGAACTTGTGTGTGAAAGCAGAGGCCAGAAAACTGTAACTCATGAGCCAAATGCAACCTGCCACACATTTCTATAAATATAGCCATGACCATTCATTTAAATATTGCCTGTGGCTGTCTGTGGCAGAGTTGAGTAGACAAAGCAGAGACCATATGGTCCAGAAGCCTAAAATATCTGGCCCTTTACAGAAAAAGTTGTCTGGCACCCAGTCTAAAAGATGATTTCAAGGAATTCCTATGGCTATAAATGTCAAGAGACCAACTGATTTATTCTCTACCTTCAGAGGTTGTTCCTTCACTCCCAGAATTTCTCGTTCAACCCCCATCACATAGTCCTATCCTACTATATGTTATATTGAGTCACATGCCTGCCTTACCTATGGCCTGTGAGTCCTACATCTGCCATTTCCTATTCTATTCTCAGCACCTAGTATAGTGCCTGATATACAGTAAGTACTCAAAATTATTTTCTAATCATTCATATCTGAATCTGTTGTTTAAGAGAAAAGGAGGTGTTATGATTTGGATATGGTTTGAGTTTAACCTCCAAGGGGCCAAAAGCTTGGTCCCCAGTGTGACAATGTTGAGATGGTGGAATCTTTAAGAGGTAGGGCCTAGTGCAAGGTAAGTAGGTCATTGAGTGGGGGAGACTGCCTTCACAAGGGATTAATGTAGTTCTTGTGGGACCCCAGTTAGTTCCCACAATAGCATGTTGTTATAAATTAAAAAAAAAAAAAGGCTATAGCTCAGTGGTAGAGTATATGCTTAGCATGTACCAGGCCTTGGGTTCAATCTCCACAACCAAAAAAAAAAAAATCACAAAAGAGAAAACCTGGTCCCTGAATCTCTCTTGCTTCCTATCTTGTTATGTAACTATTCTCTCTCTGATACACACACACACTCCCACCATAATGCCATCCACCATATTGTGATGTAGCCAAGAGGGTCTGAATCAGAGGTTGAACTAATGAGACCACCAGATCATGGACTTCCAGCCTCCAAAACTGTAAGCCAAATAAAACTATTTTCTTTATATATTTCCCAGACCTGGATATTTTGTTATAATAACATTAAAAAATGGAAGCTATGAAGGTGGTAAGTGGAAACAAGCAAATCTATAGTGTGGGATGGTAACAATCCTGAGGTTTGTCTGTGTCTGATGGATGGACTTCCCCTGTTTCCAAGGGGCTTTGAGAGCAAACACTATCTTTTCACTCTTCAGGGCAGCTTGAACCCATCCTGCCACAAACCTGGTAAGTCAATGCTTCCCAGCATCAGGCATTCCTTTTCAGCTTAGGCAGGTTCCCCCTGGCAACTATCTCACTTATGGTGAACAGATGCCATGTGCTATAACATTCTAGAATTCAAAGTCCATACTTCTTGACATTACCATCTCCAAAAATACCATGATCTATTTCATTCCTTGATAACATCCAGACTTACCTTCTTCCTCTCCATATTTTTCTGTCTCTTCAACTAGCAGGTCATTTTCTCGCTAGAACTTACATTTATATATACTACTTGCCAAAATGACAGACTCCAGCTTATCACTTTTGAAACCAGGCTTAATGCATTCTGTTTAAGAGGGATAGTGTATGGAAATTCCTGCCTAAAATGGTTCTCTCTCTCTCTCTCTCCTGGGAGCAGGGGCAGGGTCTCAGCTTCACTTACCTGGCTCTTCAACCACATACAAGATGGACTTTCCACTGGCATCTTCATAGTACTGGAACCTGACAACACAGTCATCCTCATTCTTGTAGGTACAATTCACTGCATCCTTGCCAGTGTCCTCTGGGATGAGGGAGGGGAGAATAGAAGAATGAAAAACAGATCAATTCCCAGAAGATGGGGCCTTTCCCAACCCCTCTCATAGGACTTCTGTGAAAGCACGTGACAGGAAACCCTGTGCCTGACACTAGGCAAGATGCCTAGATCTGAGATGGCTAATATGGCAATTGCTACTCGTTGGCCCTCACTGAGCAATTTTGCCCATTACAGGCTCTCTTTGGTTTTTATTCCTTTTCTGGATGGGACATGATATACCAATATTCCACATTCTGATTCAAAGCCTGGCTCTATCATCTACCAGCTGTGTGATACTCGGTAAGTCATCTGACCTCAGTGATTCTCCCTTTCTTCATCTTTCAAAGGAAAATTATGTCCCCACCTTACTGAGGGAATTAAATGACATTAAATAGTCCCTAATATATAGTAGGTATTTCCCTCTCTTTATGTTCTCAGCTTGCTCAGACTCTCCATAGTTTGCTTATGTGGCCCTTACTATTTCTCCATACCTGTTTCTGACCTAGTGTGCCTCCCAAAGCCATCCTCCTCTCTGACTCCTACCATGTTTTGTAGGCTTGTATCCCTTCTAATTCTAAAGCCTGATATTCAGCCAATGACACTGTGGGTTTCCCTCCAACAGTTGCACTATGTCCTATACTGATGAAACCAGATGGGCAAAACTGATATATGATGACATTAGCAAATGTGCTAAGGTCACCCAGTAAATAAGTAATGGAGCAGGGCTAGAACACGAGTTTCAAAGCACACTTAATGGACATGAGGTCAACAAGCTGTCAGCATACCAGTGGTATCACAGTACAAGGGAAAGAGTAAGAATTTCAGAACTTAGTTCTCATCTTAACACATTGCATCCTTCCTTTGGCAAATTAATCTTCCTGATACAACTTCCTCATCTACAAAATGAAGATAACAATAGTACCATAATTCTACTGCATTAGTTTGGGAGAAAGAATATATAATGTGTGTGAAAGATACTTTTAAAATTTTGTAAGTTATAAAATTCCATATAGATATGCCTTTTGTGATGATTTATGATAGTGAAGGAAGTAGGTAAAAAAGTAATAACTTTCAATATTTGCCTGATCTAGATAATAAAATATCTTGACATCTTAGCCTCTCCACTCTGAGCCAATCATAGCAAACCTAATCTCCACCAGAGGAAAAACTGCTCTTCAGACTCAACCCCCAAATCACCAATCTCACCGCAGCCCCACTTCTGGTAACAGTCATAGGTCCAGAGATCTGACTAACTGGTTGTGTTTCACTGTGGCTGTCACTGAAGATGTGTTTCCTGCCTTCATGGGTGATTATTAACTGCAGAGAGATTGCAGTTTCCCTAGTACTGCCCAATGCCTCACTAACCTAGATGACCACACCAGATGTGCTGTCAGCACAAAGATCATCTCCTTTAAAGTCAGGATGAAGTCCACACCAAAATAATCGCAGGCAAGAGTTTTTCTCCCCATTGTTTGTACTTCTGTCTGTCTTATCCTGGGTTGTGGGGGAAGAGGGAGCTCCAAAAGCCAGAGGATTTTAACCTAGAGATTTTTGGTTACAAATCCATAAGGGTAAAGGTTTCTCTCCAAACCAGCAGCACTTTAAGCAAAAACTTGGGCATTGCTTAGCAGGCTTAATAAAGTAAACCTGGCAAATGCTTACTCTCCTAAGCTGATGACAGTCATGGGAAACCACTTCCCAGCTCTGTGCCTCAGTTTCTTCACTGTAAAATAGGGCACACTGTCTTCCTTTCCTTGGAGGGCAAGGTTAGAGTTGCCTGATTTACACACCCTTTACAAGTTATGCATAGGCTCTAAGAAGCAGAAGGAACTGCTGAACACATCTATAGGGAGAAGGAGGACTCTGAGGAAAACCAGCCTTTACCCAGTGCCTGCCATGCATCAGCCCTGTTCAGTGTTTCTTGAGGTGGGAATTACTCGTGCATTTTATAGGTGGCAGTTCGTAGGTTTTGGGACTGAACTGTAAACATTTAGAAACTGGTTTGTGAGACTCTAAGACTTATCATACTTACTAAGCTCTTTCACAGACTCGATCTCATCACGGCAGTAACGGTTGCAGGTGTTTTCCTCATGGAGGACTCCCCGTTCAAACTTCTTACACTCCACACACTCCCTAAAGAAGAGATGGCATACCCATTAAGGCAGAGGAAGCACAAGCCTAAGCACGTCCCAGTCCAGCTCTGACCTCCATGCATCCAGAAAGTGGCATCACCTTGTCTTAAAAAAACAAAAACAAAATATGTGTAAGACCATGCTTGAGGCCCACAGCCAAATGTGGAGTTCACGGGTGGGAGTGCATCCTTATCCATAAGCTGGACCTGGCAGCCAGCAGCTCCCAAGTCCTTTGTAAAGCTTATTTATTTATCTATTTATTCACTCATTCATTCAATTATTTGTTTGTTTGTTTAGAGACAGTTTCATTATGTAGCCCAGGCGGCCTTGAACTCACAATCTTCCTATCTCAGCCTCCTGAGTGCAGAGATTATACGCTTGTACCACCACTCACTAAGCCGACCTCATTAAGCTTCTTCAAGGGCTGTAATGGAGAATCCTACATTATTCCTGAGAGCCTTAAGGTCAAAATCAGTTTTGTGATTTGGGGATCCAGTGTAAAATGAAAATTTTGATTAAAAAATTGCTAAAATTTTCATGATAGTGAAATTGGCACATTCAAATAAGCATAGGCCTTCTCAACATGGACCCGTATATAGTCACGCAAGCTGCATGACTGTGTCTCTGGCCCTGCCTGTAATGGTAGAGGAAGGACAGAGCCATGGACTTGGGCTGACAGGACCTTCCTCTGACATCCAGACAGAGAGGTTTGTACTGGCAAAATGCCTGTGTTTCGTACAGTGTCCTCCATAACTCCAGTCCCTGCACCTCCCACAGAATCAGAGCATCGGCACTGAAGTGCTTCAGACAATGTCTGATTTGGCCTTCCTTACTTAACTCAGGGGGATTCAGTATGCCACCCTCAAAAAGGGCTTGCTCCAACCAGAGTCCAGCTGGTACTACTCTGGCCCCCTTCACAGTTGACTGTAACTCCAATTTCCCCCAAAGCAAAGTTCCCATTGGGAAGAGGAGAGTGGCTGATTGGCTGTAATGAACTCTTCTCCCTAAAGCTTTGATAAGTAAGAGATAGAACCTCAAGAGTTGGAGGTTCTAGTCCAAGGGACCCTTTTCCCCTTCCCAGCCTCCCAACTCTCTCCAAACTGACCACTCACTTCTTAAAGGTGCAGGCATCTGGGCAGGTAGGACACTTCTCACAGGTATCCCCATAGGAGCCTGGCTGGATGCAGGCACAGCTGCCACACTCACACTTGCCCCGGCCGCTGCACAGCAGCCCATTGCTGGACATGCAGGTGTCGGTGCGTGTGGTGCAGTTGCAGTAGTAGCCGGTCCAGTCGGAGTCACACAGGCAGTCCCCACAGCTGCACTGGCCATGGCCTGTAAGCACAGAGCCCAGGAGGGCAGACCAGATGATGAGGGTCCCACCCCCGTGACAGCAGGCTAAGAACGGTGACCCTGATCTCCCAACCAGAGGGCACATGGGGAGCTGGCTCACTACCAGGGAAGCCCGACTCAGTGGGGACAAACTCAGCTTTCTAAGTGTTTCAAGGTGTGGCAGGACTTGGAAAGGAAAGGAATATCAGACTCTAAGTCTCCCTTGCCTCCGACTTTTTTTTTTTTTTTTTTGCCTCATTCTGAATCCCTATACCTTCTCTGCCAGCTTCGGTCTAAGGACCAGGAGTCACTAAGCCACAGTCTGTGCCCAAACTCGACACTCAGGAGGCTTGATGGTGTGGTCTGATGATAGCAAACGGTTCTGCAGACTCCCAAACTTTTTCCCTTTGACCTGACAGGCTGCTCCTCTCTCTGAATTGACCAGAGAGAGCCACCATTGTCTTCCCCCAGTTGGGTTAGACACCGGCGTAGACTCCAATTTGGGCAAACTGGCCCCTTGTACTAAGAAGCCAGCCACCAGTGTCCATTATTCTGTTTCTCAAATCAGCTAGGTGTCACCTTGCCAGGTGAGGAGTAGGGAATGAAGAGATCAAGCACAGCATCGTGTGCACTGCCTGAGAAGGGCAGGTGCACACTGAGTACCTGAAAGCACGGATACATGGGACAGGGTGTGCAAGGGGCAGACAGAAGGCATCAAAAGCCCATGCAGTTGGTCACTGGTGCCAAATATCCATGAAGAACAAATACATTCTATACAGACTACCTCACAGCTTGCTGAGGGTCAGTGTGTTAAAGCCATTTTTAATAGAATATTCTTAAGTTTGACCAGTGGAGGAAGAGGAGAGACTAACAGGAAGGAGGGAGTCGGAATGTCTGGTAACTGGGCTTGATACCAATGAGAAATTCTGAGGTGAGAACATTTTGGAAATTCAGATGTACTCAACTTTTCAAGTGGATGGACAGAAAGAGAGTTTCTGACTGCTGTATTTCTGGACTTCATTAAGATATTTCTAATCACTGCCCCCAGCCTGTCCTCAGCCCTGGATAATTCTAAGTCATCTATCTCCTTTTGTCCAGGTAATACTTAGTTCAATCCACCCTTCCTCTTTAGCCAGGATTCTCTTTTTAATACATGGTTTCTCAGACTTGGTACTTCTTGATATTTTGAGCCAGAAGGCTTGGGGGAGGGGCTGTCTTGTATACTGTAGAATGTTCAGCATCCTGGGCTCTGCCCACTAGACATCAGTAGCCCTTTCCAGTTGTGGCAATCAAGAATATCACCAGACATTGCCAAGGGGGAGACACAATAACTCCTCCGGCAGTTGAGAACCACTATTCTAAATGTCAATCAATTTGATCATGCTACTCCTGTACTGAAAAACCCACAAAGATTTCATACTGCCTAAAGGATTAAGTGCAAAGTCCTTGGCAAACACTCAAAGCCATTGCAATGGGCACTACCTGCCTCTTCTCACATTTCCATGCATTAGCTTTGTGCCCCAGTGTTTCTCTTCATTATCTTTCCTGCACCTAGACTGCCCTTTCGTCCTGTGACCACTACCAAACTCCTGCTCACCATAGGGCCAACTCAAATGTTCCCTCCTCTCAGTAACTTTTTCTGATCTTCTCGGGCCGAATCAGCCACCTACTCACATGTCCTCCCAGCACGTAACAGCTACCTCTACTTTGACCCTTATTTTATGGCTATTTGCTTGCTTACCTGCGTCTCTTTCTAAATTCTTTTTCTCCCATCTCCCTGATGGCAGAGCACATCCCACATTATTTTCCCATTCGTAGTGATTAGCATGAAATCTGCTACAGAGTCGGTGTACGATTAATGTTTGTTCGCTCACCCATTCATTCAACAAGTATTTACTGAGCTCAGACCACACGCTGGGCACTAGAGATTTAGCAGAGAACAAGCATTCTGCCTTGTCTCTGCTATCGTCGACATATTCTAAAAACCACACATACACTCACCAGCTTGTGCCCTGTGTTGTACTATTATAGCATTGCAGAAACCCTGTTCACCTCACTCTCTGAATGTAGGAATAAGAGGGATCGTGATGGGGGTGGGGGTCAGGCTGCTTAAAAACAGGCAACCACTTGAGGAAATGTATCTCCCTAATCTTTTTTTTTTTTGGGGGGGGGAGACTGGTGCTTGAACTCAGGGCCTCAAGCTTACTAGGCAAAAGTTTTACAACACCACACCTTTAGCCCTTTTGCTTTTAGTGCTTTTTGAGATAGAGTTTTACATGTGCCTGGGCCAGCCTCAAACTTCGATCCTCCTACTTCTGCCTCCCATGCAACTGTAATTACAGGCTTGCATGATCACACCTGGCTTGTTTTTGTAACAAAGTCTTGCTGACTTTTTCCCAGGGGCTGCCCTTGAAGTGTGATCCTCTTGTCTCTTCATCCCAAATAGCTGGGATTATAAATGTGCGCTATCATGCCTGCCGTCCCCACCCCCAATATTCATTTAACTTAAGGCTTTACAAATTGGCTCCTAAACCCCGCAGAAGGTGACTCATTCTCCAGTACTCTGAATCAGAAAGAAATGGATGCATAATAAAAATCTGATTGTTAATCAGAGGAAATGCAGCAGGCAAAGAGGAAATAACTTGAATATTCGTCTGGAAACCACAGGATTGTCTGACCAGGTAGCCCTAAGGAGGTAAAGGAGAGGGTGGTATAAGGCCAGACTCAAAGAGCAACTAGCTGGCACCAACAGCTCCCAGTGACCCCACTAGGTCCAACCAGTGTCTCTCGGCCACTGTGAGTCCCTCTGTCCATAACCCCAACACCACCTTCTACTCATCATACTGACATTCAAATAAACATGCAAACAAACAAAATAAGACTCAGTCACACCTTGGGTGCCTTGGAAAGAAATGTGTGGTTCGCAGGAAGGACGAGCAACCAAAGCCAGCTGCCAAGTATATCTGCAGAGCAGAGTGTCGGGCTGACAGAAGGGTGGGGAAAGCAGAAAGACTCTGAGTCGTCAGATAGACTTCCCTCGAAATACTTTGCGGTGAGAATTCTTCTTCAAAAGACTTATAAGAGAGGTGGAAGGAAGGAAGCAGTATAGAGCAAGAGTCAAAAGACAGCAGGAAGGTGGTCTCGGACAGAGACTCCCTTCAGCCTTAATTAGTGGTGGTTCTGGAGGATGAATGGTACCACTGCACTGGCCTTGTGGAACCATGTCCATCAGTCATTGGTCAAAGTCTGAGGGCAAGCAGCTCCTGTCAACTGAGTCCAGGGCAGATGTAAGCTATTCTCAGCCAACCCTCACAGCAGCTGGGGGTGGGGGTGCCAGCCAGCAGAGTGGGCCCCACAGCATCCACTATCCCTTGCTTTTAGCCATAGCTCCTGGATGAGGAAAGACGGACACTACAGAGGTCTGGCAGCACTGAGAGGCCTCAGCTTCCTCAGAACACTTGTCCCATAGTGTTTCCTTTGTGAAGCAAAACAAAGTGATCTTTGACAAGAGGATCTGCAGGCCAGCCAGGGAGTGAGGTTGAGAGTGGAAGTGGTCAGCCAAAGCCAACAGGCTGACCCCAAGCCCTGGCAAAGTCAGTCCTAAAAGGAAGCCACAGTGTGCTAATGTCACAGGACTGGCAGTCCTCCAGCAAAAAGGAGGCCTAGGCTGGGTTCATAGGGAAGTCAGAGGAGGGGGGAAAAGGGAAAAGAGCTGGGAACAGGGGTCGGGTGTTACAGGGGTCGGGAGTTACAAGTCTCAGAGAAGGGGATCACTCTCTCTACATAGCCAGACTTCAGAGCTGACTCATCATTTCACACCTTCCTCTGAGATTCATCGAACATCCCACCTCCATGAAGATGCCCAGACCTCTCTAGCCATAATGAGTCTCTCACTGGTGACTTCCTGTAAGATTCCCTGGGAATACCTCATTTCCAGGATCTGGCAGATTCTGCCTCATGTTGTGAATTCTCCTTTGGTAAATTAATGAAGGGTAAAACTTCCTTATTTACTCCTCTCTATCCCACACAGCCACAGCACAGGAACTGGGTTGCAGATGAGCCTGACTGATCTGTGTTTGTGGGTACAGCAGGTGGAAGAGCCTGAAGAAAAGGATGCACTCCCTGATGTTTGAGGAGGGGTGTTGACAATGGCCAACCTCAAAGACCAAGCTTAACATAGGGAGGGAGTTTCCAGGGCACCAGCTGCCATGCTTAAAGGCCAGAAACTAGGGAAATGAAACTCCCCTGGGTGGAAAACCAGATGGCCTTCAGACCTCCGACGTCTCCATAGCACTCCTGCCTCATGAGCCCCTGTGTGTGGCAAAGAACACACCACAGAGCCAGCAGCTGAGGTGAGGACAATGCCAGGCTGGGCTACAGCTCTGAGAGGAATCATGTGTGACTCCATTCACTGCACAAAGCAGGCACTCAATAATGTGTACCTGAGCTCTGTCACTGAGGATGTCATGAGAGACCACAGGGTCCAGATGTGAGACCCACTGGGCACCTGACGCCCTGTCAAGAAGTGGCAGAAGGAGGCTCCTTTGTAATCCACCTGGGTTCCCCAGTGAATTACACTGGAGCACAATGAGGATGAGCTGTTCCTGGACCAGTGGAGGCAGGAACCTGGGCAGCTGACCCAGGCAATTCCCCTTTGTGGCTTCAGCAGGGACGGCAGCCAAAGTAAACACACTCTGGCTGGCGCCCCTCCTACAGTGCCTCACACCAAACCAGGAACAGTCAGCCTGCAGGAGAGCAGGGTGTTCAGTAAGCCCTCTGCAGACTTCTCCCAGGGCAGCCCTCCCCACCATAGTCCCAATCTTGGGTCTCCAACTCCAAACTTTCCTATTACCTCTGGCGCTTTAAATATAATGCAAATACTATTAAATATTAAAATGAGCTGAAATTCCTGTCTCACTCCCTAATTCAAACTGCTATTGTTTATGTGTTTTTCTCTTCGTATACCTGATCTATCTTTCCTCTAGCCTAATGTTGACATCACATCCGACCCCTTTCTCAAATTTTGTTGATCTAAGTATAGGAAATAATGTTGCAGATAATAAAAAGGTGTCATTTTTATATTTCCAGGGCATGCTTTAGAATGACACAGATTTATCTTTCTCATCAAGTTTTTTAAGATCTGATGTTAGTGTTAAAGTGAACGTGTGGTGATTAGCTCAGCTGGTTAAACTCCAATGCAAATGAAACTCACCTGGATCATGGATCATCATAGAAAACAATTATGACCTGTCTGCTCAATTGACCACAGGGTACACCCATAACCCAGTTCCAACTAACCTGCAAATCTCTGCAGTCTATATGTCATAAGAGGGATTAAACTACAGTGATTATAGCCCAGCAAAAAACCTATCTCCAGAGCCCATGGAAAAACTCAGACTGCCCGTTTGCCCTCTGAGAGTGTTGTCAGCATGTCTGCAGATAAAGACTACATTAACAGTTCACCTTCTCCTGGTTGGGGAAATACCCTAGGAGTATTTAGGGCCAATGAGAGACCAATGTGAGATTATTCATACTCCTTAAGTTTTACTGAATTTTGTAATGAGCAGAACTCAGCATCCTGTAGGTAGAAGGACTCAAAATTATAACCCTAAGCTGGAAGCAGGACCTCTCTACAGTGATGTCATCCAGTAGTTTTCTGCCATGTTGCAATGTTCTTTATCTGTGCAGTCTGATATCTGTGCAGTCCACATGTGGCTATTGACAAACTTAAGAACCAAATTTATATTTTCATTCTCAATTAATTTAAATAGCCACATGTGGCTAAGTGACTACCATATTGGACAGCACAGATCTAGAATACAAAAAGTATAGTAATACCCACAAAATAGCAATACAATAACAAAATAAGGCTAACATTTAACAAGAGCATCAATTTTCTGGACATTGTTCTATATATTAGCTCATTAAATGTGCTCCAAAGTCTTGCATATATACTACTATTTTCCAAGTCTCTGTGATAAAAAGAAATTCATGTACAGTTATTACTAATTTTATATTCTGATATCATGTATTTTCTATAACTGCTGAAATTTTAATAACCATCAGTCCATAATTTTTTAGCTGAAAAAAGGCATTAGTTCTTATAGTCAAAAAAAGATTAGGAATTTATAACATTAGCAGACTGGCAGAAGAAAGTAAAGAACAGAAAAACTATCTTCACCTGGAAGTCCCACTCTGATGGAAGGAGAGAAGCTACTGGAAGCAGAGGCTTATTTTAGCCTTGTACCCCCACGTGCAAGAGAAAAGATCTGTTTCCCCTTCTTTCCTCATTCCTGTTTTTTTGCCAGTGGAGTGGAATAGCATCTACTCTGCTCTGCCTGCCCATCTCAAGAGCTCACCTGTGTTTCCGGAGCTACAGGTATGCATGGCTACCTTCCTACGTGGACACATGGGCGTGCAATTCTACTCACCTGAGCACATCTCCCCCTTGTAGCGGACACAGGAGAAGTCATCACACTCGCAGTATTTGCCTGTGATCTTGCCGAAGTCACTGCTGTGGCAGACACACTGGCCGCAGAGGCATTCACCCCGCTGGCTGCAGATGGGCTGGCCCTCCTTGGGGCTGCACTCATCCTGCTGAGAGGGGCGGTAGTCCTCCTCGGAGCACTCACACTGGGATCCCAGCCAACCTGGCCCACAGCGGCACACTCCACACTCGAAGGTCCCATTGCCATCATTACAGCGCCGGCTGAAAGGCTCGGCATAGGCCTGGCAAGTGCAGTCACAGTCAAAGGTGACCTGGACAGTCAGGCTGTCCTTGAAGCCCACAGGCTTGATGGTGAAGGACTTCTCCTTCTCCTGGGGGCAGCCTCGCACCTTGGCCTCAATGCTGAAGCTCACCTGGATGGAAAGACAGGTGGCATTCAGACCTAGGTAGTCTCAGTTAACACTCCAGCCTTGGAGGAATAAAAGCTATTCCCTGTCCTGCCAAGGAATTGCCAAACTGAGTGTCTTATCTGCTTGCCATATGGAGTTCCTTGGGCTTCCCACTACCAAAGCCTGCAGAGCAAACACAAGAGCACTGGGGTAGCTGTGCCACTGTGACTATTTGTACCACCGGACACAAAGACATGGTTACAGACAAGAAATCGAAGGCTCAGGCACAACAGAACCTGTGGTTGTGAGCACTCTACTCAGGCCAACTAAGCTAGCTGGACCGATTACTTAACATCAGTGAGACACATAAAGTATTGCTTTGTACCACACAATACCACAGAGCGGTCAGCCAGAAGCTGAGGAATTTCCACATTACATTTCATCACAGGCAAACAGTTCTTACAAGGGGTATGAGCACATATGCCCAGAAAATAGACTGATAGGAAGGCCAAGAGATAAACCTGTAGGAAGATCAACACATCTGTAGAAATATCAACTATTTCCCTTCCTTCCTCTCTCTCCTCCACCACCCCCTTTCCCTTTAGGCAGAACAGAGGAGAACCAACCAATAACAAGCCATGAGAGAAAGAAGGGAAAAAATGAATATTTTCTTTCTCAAATGCCATGAGGCTTTTTTTTTTTTTTTTGCCTGTTCCATTTGCTGTTGAATCTCAGTAGCTAGAACAATGCTTGGCACATAGTCAGTGCTCAATAAAAATTTATGGATGGTATTGCTATTTTACATTGAAGAAAAAAGAAAGGTATTATCTTGGGGGAGGTTACTTAGGAGCTGAAGATAAGAAATATTTCCATTTGTGGGCTAGAGGTATAGAGCAATTGCCTAGCAAGCACAAGGCCCTATGTTCAAACCCCAGTACCACCAAAAAAAGAAAAGAAATATTTCCATTTACAATTGAATGTGCATTCACACTTAGATAACCAAAATAGAAGTTCTTAAAACCCCTAATAGTGAAGTTCACTCAACAGATACAGAAAGCTTAGGAAACAGAACCTTCAGAGAAAAAGGTTGGCAATTTTAGTACTTTGGACTTGTAATGAACTTCAGGAAGAAGGTACCAGAAAGGAAGGTGTTGGAATGCCCAGAGATGCCAGGGCCCAGGTCAAGGTTAGAGCTGCAAGTTTTGCCCCTTCCCAGCCCACCTCACCGTGTCTCCAATCTCGAGTCCTACACAAGACTTGAGGCCTGGGATGACCTCATTGTTGAGGCAGGTGGCATTGAAGAATAGAGACAACTCTTCAGGGAGGTCGCGCACTTCCAGCTCTACTTTAGAGCGGATTTTCTGAGCAGAAAAGGGCAAAAGAAGGGAAGGAAATGAGCTGAGAGGAAATGGGCGAAAGCTAATTCCACCCCAAGCAAAGTCTATCAGGTGGCCTTGGACTGAGGTTTGCCTCACAGCAGCAAGAGCACACTGAAAGGCTGTTTCCTGCTCTATTTCCTGCCCAGAACCTGCTCCCTCCAAACCAGCTACACCCTCCTGCAGACCTTGTGAACCTGCAACAGAGGAGTGTTAGTCCAGGTCACCTTGGATAGTAACACTTTCTACCTACTTTTTTTTTATCAACCTCACCATCTCCATGGCTCACTGCCTCTCTTCTCTAATGTTAGAGCCCTCTGTCTCTCACTTTGTCCCCACAATTGCTCCTTCTCCATCTAATCCCCATGCACAACCCCTTCTACCTTCTCTAAGATCCCCATTCATTGTTCTGCTACTCCCTGGCATTCCTTTCTAGGCCATTTCCTTCCCAGAAGGCTGCATCCCTCCTATAGCTGGCCATTGCCTGCCTCTGGGAACACAAAAGACCTTCCAGACTGGCAACCAGGGCTGCCAAATTGAGCCTTGCTGTATATAAGCTACATCAAGTGGACTCAGTAGGCCCATTCCCAACATGAGGTACTTACACCATAAGCATCAACAATGAGTTGGAGAACATTGCTGGAATCGGCAGACAGAACCCCCACTGTGGTTCCTGGGATGAGCTCACTATAATTCTAGAAAAGAAAACAAAGATGTCCAGAGCTTCTGGAATGAAAGTCGTGGTCTCCTAAAGCCCTACCGATATCAGACTAAGACTCTTGAAATGAAGATTGGAGGAAGGGATGGGATATGTGACTTGTCACTGCCAGGAATATATCTAGCAGTTTTTCGGCCCTGAGCAAAATGACAGGAAACCTTTTACTCCTCACTCCACTGAATTCCCTCCTCTCTACCACGACAAACATCAGCACTCCTTTCCCAGTAGGTTAGAGGTTGGAGGAAAAAGGCCACAGGGAGGAATGTTAAGCACCTGGGGAATGGGTTGAAAGAGGATCTTTCCTGGTTGAGGCTCTGGCCAATGATGGCATGAGCTGGCTGCCTGGGACAGGTTCACTTATCACAGGACGCACTCCAGGAAGCCCCAAAGGCACAGTTACCTGGTAGAGATTGACTACATTTTTAGTCACTGCAAAGATCAAATTGATGTTTTTCTGGGATAGCTTCTCAGTCATCAGCCCCAGAGAGGGATAATCCTAGAAAAAGGGGAAAGGTTAGTGAAGAAGTTTCACATGTATCCTTGGATTCTAAGCCTTTGAACTTGACTGATTTGGTCTGTGACCAAGACAGTGGTGGTGCTTAAACATTTTTACCTCATAGTCAAAGTAAGGTGCTATGGTTTGGATATTGAGTGTGTCCCTCAAGCTGTGTGTGTTGAAATTTAATTCCCATTGCAAGGTATTAAGAAGGTGAAACTTAATCCAACTATGGAGTTCAGAGGGGACCTTTGGGAAGACAGCAGGATTAGAAAAGGTATTATAATGGATTCCTCATGATGGAAGCCTATTGGCTTTATAAGAAGAGGGAGAGAGAGACCAAAAGAGACAAATATATACATGTGTACTCCCTGACTCTTACCATGTGAGAGGCATGGCAACACCTCTGCCAGCGAGAAGGCAATCATTATTAATATAATAAATGTATATGACTGGTCATCACCAGATGAGGTCCCTCAACCTTACACCTCCAGAACTGAGAGCCAAAATAAACCTCTTTTCTTTATAATTTACCCAATCTGCAGTATTGTGCTATTAGCAACAGAAAACAGGCTAACATGTGAGCAAGAAGGATAAAACAAAGTAGCAGTACAAATTTAGTTGTGACCTCTAAAGGCACAGGCTAGTGGTGTCAAAACTAAGCACTTACTTCTTCCTACTCAGAGTCAATGCCATAACACCATCAAGCAGCTCCATGGTGTCAGGCACAGGTTAGGCCTCGCTGTTTTGGAGCTTCTGACAAAAGCCTTAGCCTCTCTCTCATGATCCTTCATCACATGGTCTCAGCTTTTCTTTCCAAAAATAGCTCTCCTCTCTCCCTGTCCACTCAGCAATGACCTGGCCCACTCTTCCTCCAACTTAGAATAGCCTTCTTTTCCTCCTTCTTTAGGACCCAGCTCAATTCATCATCCCAGCTCCTAATGAGCTTTTCTCCTTTGGATACATATAACCCTTCACTGTGCCAACCATTTGGCACACATGTATTTTGTGTTATTAATAAATACAAAAGTATATCCTTTCTCCTCAACTAAACCAAAAACTCCCTAAGAGTAGAACCTTATGATCTTTTTGTCTTCCTCAACTTCTGGTACAGTGCTTTGCATAGACTAGGATCAAAAGCAGCTAATTTACCCATTGCCTGGTAGTGCTCAACTTGGGTATGACTGACACCAAATTTGTGACACTTGGAACCTGTCCATGAGACCTTAGGAATCTCATGCAGGGAGATCATAATCATCCATCTTAGACTCCTGCCTTTACAGGGGTGTGCCTTTAAGCTACCTAGACAATAAAGACAATTATACTGTCTTTGAAAGATGACAAATAGGCTGGGGACTAGTTCACTGGTAAAGTGCTTTGCCTAGTGTGTGAGGCCTTGGGTTCAATCCCAAGAACTTAAAAAAAAAAAAAAGTCCAAGTATGGTGGTGCATACATATATCCCAGCACTGGGAAGACAGGAGGATCTTGAGTTTGAGATCAGCCTTGGCTACACAGAGAGCCAAGGCTGATCCTGTCTCAAAAACCCAAACAAACAGAAAAGGAAAAAGATAAAGATTCACACTTCCCCCCCTCCCTGATGCTCAAAGTGCCAGCGTCCTGAGCACCAGCACATTTGTCCATGGCTTGCAGTAATTCTTCCTGTTTCAACTTAAAACTCCTTTTCCTTTATTTAATTAAACTTTTATGCTTAATTAACTAAAACACATAAAATAACTTATAAGAATTTTCTATGTACTATCCTAAATCATCCATGGGCCTATTCCTTCCAAATAATTGTCTCTGAGCCATTTAACCTTTCCTCAGAAAACATGCTCTGTGTTTTTGATCTTTGTCTTTTCTGCCTCTATCTTCTCCCAATAGCTACCAGTAAGCATGGTATTCCAGGAAGGGGCTCATCTGCAGACTATGGAGGAAGGTCTGCTTTCCGGGTGGGCCTATGTGAGCCCTTTGGGTCCATTCTGGATGTCATGACGATGAAGACAGTAGAGGCAGTGATAACAGTGACCCCACTTAGGGCTCTCTCTAATGGCAGTGTATGTTGTACCCTAGATAAGGGTATCCTGTTGGTAGGGGGTAGAAAAAGACTGGAACTAAGCCCTGTACACTGCCAGCAGAAGGGCTGCCATTTTCAAATCCACACAAAAGTTCTGCCTGGATTAGAGCAGCCCTGGCCATAGTGCATAAGGACCAGGGTAGTGCCAGGAATCTCACCATGGTAGTGGAAGCAGAGTAATGGTTGTCACTGCCAATGTGACACTGTCCATCATTGGGCTGAACGATGCCTGCCAGCCTTCCATCCAGTGCTATATGGGTCTTGGCATCAGTGGTAAACACCAGCAAGTGGGATGCATCATTCCTCCAGCCAATTTTTTCCTATTTAAAAAAAAATAGCAAAAGAGACAATACAACTTCAGTCACGTCATTGGTAGAGGACAAAGAAACAAGGATTCCCCCAATCTGAAGTGCCAGACAAGTTATCTCAGAGAAGGACCTCAGTCCAGGCCTTGGAACCCAAACTCAAGTATTCCAGTTCAGGGGCTTCTGCCCTCTTAGGAAAACAGTCTCATAGCTAATTAGTTCAAGCAGTTGAATGACACCGTCTTCAAGTCCAAACATAATTCTTCTAATGACAGTCATGTGGCCCATCTAGAAGCCCACTTTCATTCACACAGCTGGCTGGGCTAGAAGAAATCCCATTTTAACATCTGCCCACTTTGCTGAGGTTAAGATAACCCAGCCTTGACTCTGCAATAATTTCAGAGAACATCTGGGACTCCTGTGGTTCAAAGAGATGTCAGCTCTGGCCCAGAAGTAGATATAAACAGAGGTTGTATGTCAGGAATAACTTATGACTCAGACTGCACAAGTTCTGCTTAGTTCCTCCCCACCTCTTATCGCACCAGAAATCCCCCAACTGAGCCACTTCCTTCACTATTGGACCTATGCCAACCACACCTGGCACCTGACACCCTCCAAACTCACATCACAGACTGTAGCCTGCATGATGGCATCAAAGCCACCCTCTGGGGCATCTCGATTCCGTGACACACTCTGTTTCTTCACTTCCTCATTGAAGCGGGTCACCTGATCAGTTAGTGTCAGCACGTGTTTGTAGCCAAACATGGGCAAACAGGTGTTCTTCAAACTGGAGAAGGAAAGAGTAACAGATGCCTTGATGGAAAAGGCAGCATGGGATAAAGAGGGAAAAAGAGGGACAAGTATGCACAGTGGAACGCCCAGGCCAGTTCTGTACAATCACAATCTTTTCTTGTTCAGTATGGGTGACTGAACTCAGGGCCTCCTGAATACTAGGCAAGTGCTGTAGCTCAGGGTGGCTCAGAGCTACAGCACTTAGCTACAGTCCCAGTCCTATACAATCACAATCACACAGTTCAGACTCTAAGCACTTCATATTACCTGCAAACATCACATAACCTAACCTCCAGCTAGTCTAGAAGATAAGAGAGAAAGCTGTAAAACCAGACTCCCTGAGTTCAAATCCAAGCTCCCCCATTTACTAGTCATGGAACCTATGGCAGCATCTTTAAACCTAAACGAAGAAAATGGGGACATGATAGCACATATACGAGTTTTCAAGAGGCTCGAGTAAATAAAGCACTTAGTCCAGAGTGAGGCTTGAGTTCTTGTTGCCATCACCTTATAATTAACATTTCTTGGCTGGACACAGTGGCTCATACTTGTAATCCCAGCTACACAGGAGCTGTAGGTAGAGGATTGTGGTTTGAGGCCAGTCTAGGCAAAAAATTAGTGACTCCTGTATCTCAGTCAACAAACCAGGCATGGTGGCACATGCCTGGGACCCCAGCCACTAGGAAAACTATAGGTAGAGGGATCGTAGCCTGAGGCCCAACTGTAGAAAAAACCACAAGACCCTGCCTGAAAAATAACTAAAGCAAAAATGGAATGGAGACATGGCTCAAGTGTTGGAGTGCCTGCCTAGCAAGCTTGGTGCTCTGAGTTTAAACCCCAATACCACTAAAAGACAAAAAAAAAAATGACACTTTTGTATAGCAACAGTAAAGAAAGAGTGCAAGTAAAAAGCTGAAAAGTAAATTCACACCTTTTCAGGCTCAGTAATCATCATGTTAAATTGTTATAACACATGAATTTGCAACAATCCACCAATTAAATAAAGCTATCCAGGGGTAAGCCAGAGTGTGAAACAGGCACATGGATGGGGATGCTCAGGGGTAAAATGCTTGCTTAGTATATGTGATACCAGGATTCAAATCCCAGCAGTATGAAAAAAATTAGGCTGGGCATGGTAGTACATGCCTACAATCTGAGCACTCAGGAGGCTGAGGCAGGTGGATCAGGAGTTCAAAGCCAACCTTGGTTACATAATGAGACCATGTCTCAAAAACAAAAACAAAACAAAAAAGAGATAGGCAAAATTTATCAATTTATATACTATTTAATTTCCATCCCTTTGATAATGAGAAAATCAACAATGCAACCAATCCTGAAGGCATAATTCTTCTATTTATTTATCCACTGGCTTTTCTCTGCTTTTGACCTCATTTTCTTCCCATATTCTCTTGCCTCCCATTTATTTGTGACAAGGACCAAGAAGCTGATGAATTATCTTTCTAGGACCCTTTTGGCACAATACTCCAGATCAATAAGTTCATGCATTTGTCACACAGGGAGAACAGATAGAAAGAAGGTATGGTTTGGCCAAAAGGCAACCAACAAAGCAACCCTAGAGCTAGACAAAGGAACCAGCACTTGGCCCTGCCTGTAACAAAGGGGAAGAGTGCTTCCCAGCTTCTGGATGAGGAACTTACTCATAACAGGGATTTTTGAGGGCCTCTGGTGGGGAGATGTACATGTACGGGGATACAGGCTTGTCCACAAAGGCCCCAAAGCCAATCCGCAGGTTACTGGTAAGCTTGCGCATCTGGGAGGCCAGCTTGGTACCCAGGTTCTGGATGCTTGAAAGATCATCATTCATGGAGAAAGACAGGTCCATCAAATAGTAGATGTCTACAGGGTAATCCTCCACCTGCCGCACCTGGATGGAGAACTTCTTCGAATCATCTGGAAGGCAGAAAGATGTTAGCTTTTTCTCTTCTTCTTCCTCTGAGACTGAGTAAGTGACTTGGACACAGGTGAGAAAAAGTAAAACCAAAACTTGAAAGCCTTGGTCCCTTCTCCCCTCTTCTTACAATTCTATTTCTCTTTCAATCCCTTTACCCTCTTATTTTTAACCCCTTCTTTTCCATTCTAAGATTTTAGACCCTCTCTAAATCCCCATTTGTCTCGTCCTCTGGGTCCAAACACTCTACTATCCTGTGTCACAGAAGTTTTGGCAACTGCTACACTTCAAATTCTGTAAAAGACAGGAACTGGGTCCTATTCTCCCAATCCCATAGAACCCAACACATTCCTTATACCTAGTAGGTCTCTCTTAAATTCTTATTGATTTAATTGGAAAGTTGAAATCAATGCTTCAGAAAGCCTGTCTCTTAGCCTAATACTTCTTCCCTCTGAAGGTTTTTGTCCGTACTTTGTCTGCCCCACTGTCCCTGTCCCCTGAGGAAAGGGGGTTTACAAACTGTTTTCTCATGCTTTATCTTATTTTCACCTCAACACAAAGCTATATACTGGCACTAAGGGAATGAAGAAACAATTTGTTTTGGAAATACTGGGGTTTGAACTCAAGGCCTTGCATTTGCTAGGCAAGTGCTCTTCCACTTGAGCCATGCCCCATAAACAAACACTTTTTTGAGCACCTACTATGTCAGAGGGGTTAAGTAATTTGCCAAGTAGCTAATACAAAATGGAATTAATATTCAGACTCCAATCTCTGACTCAAGTCCTAACATCTCCCATTTTCTTCCATTCCCCTGCTCCCATCTCCCCTAATATCCTTCTCTTCTCACTCTATTTCCATTCCAGCTACTCTCCCAAGAGTTCCTACTCGGACCTCCACCTTGTTTCCTAAACTCACCTGTCCTAGATAGCTCCCCAAGATGAACCTACCTGGTCGTAGCCGGAGGGCAATCCTCTGGGGAGTGACTTGAGTAACCTGGGAGGTCTCTCCAGAGCCCTTGCTGCTGAGGGGTCTGGCCTCTAGGATTTGGACCTCGCTGACTGGGAACTCAATGAACTCTGGAGCACAGTTATCCTTCAGCAGATTCTCCTTCAGGTTACAGCGAGGTGACCCCAGAGGCAGAGCCTGAAAGACAGGAGCACATGGGGAAGGCCTGTAATCAGAGCTCTGACAGCCATGGGCCTCCTGCAGGCCTTGCCACTTCCCAATGGCTTATAACTTACCCCACATTCTGAAGCTAAAGTAGTATGAATGAACTAGTAAGGTCCTCCTAGGATAATCCCTAGGATTGTGAACAGAAAGAAGAAGCTGAGGTATCAGAAGCACTGAGTGAGTGCTTGTTCATGGACTGGTAGCTAGGAAGAAGGCCTATTGGACCAACATTCTTCAACCTGTGAAATGCAGCTCATTTGTGGGTCTCAATCATCATTTTATTAAATAAAATTCAATAGAACAGAATATAAAATAGCAAAGTATATGAATAGTAAAAGTAAGTGTTGTTTTGTGATACTTTTATTTATTGGGAAGTGGGGTATAACACATATAATAATAATAATACACCTCATAGTCCTTTCTGTAGGCTAAGGTCAGAACTATTTGGAATCTGCTGTGTTAGACAATGACCATGCTGAGATCCATGAAGGCAGGGACTGTGTATGTCCCATTTCCTCTCTATTACCAGGACTTATGACAAAAGTGACAGAGGAAGGCAGCATGGGCAGGCAATGGAGAGTAAAGAATAAGAGCACAGAAGTGGATTGGCTGAAACCGAGTCTCAGTATTGCCACTGACCAACGGCAACTACGGCAGGTGACCTAAACTCTCCAAGCCTACTATCCTCAGCTGTAACATAAACATAATGGCCCTCCCTTGATATACAGAGCAATCAAAATCACAGACACAGAAAGTAGAATGGTGGTCACCAGGGGCTAGGGGAGGGAGGACTAGGGAGTTACTATTTAATAGGTACAAAATCTTAGTTCTGCCTAATGAAAAGTTAGGGAGATGTATGATGGTGATGGTTTTTCAACACTACAAATGTATTCAATATCACTCAACTGTACACTTAAAAATGGTTAAGATGGCAAATTCTGGGGCAGTACAGGAAAAGGAAGGGGGGAGGGGAAGTATGCACATGTGAATAAGTGAATAAAAAACAAAGATGGCAATTTCTGTTATATGTATTTTGCCACAATAAAAATTACTTTTAAAGGAACTAATAATAATAGTCCCTTCCTCATAGGGATATCATATGAGGCTAAATAACACAACACATGTAAAATTCACAGCACAGCTGCCTGGTATGTGGTCAGTGCTCAATAAATGTCAGTTATTATTATGAAAAGCTTGATAAGTACTTTCTTAGTAAGTTAATTATGAGTAAACTCCATGAGCTTGGGAAAATACCATGATGCCTGCATACTGACCAGAGCCTATCCTTTCACCTTCCTCCTTCATCTAGACAAAGAACACATTGGGTACCCTCCAAAACACTCTGACATGTATCCCACCTCCCTCTGGGGTCCTATGCACCTCCACATGAGTATTGAATGGGGGATGTGCTGTGCTGGAAAGAATACTGGAAATCAAGAAACAGGCTCAATTCTAGGCCTGCCACCAACTAGCCGTGCAATCTCAGAGAAGTTACTGTGAGTCTCGGTTTCCTCACCTGTTTGATAAGAAGAGTTAGACAACATGTTTTCAGTATCATCCTATTCAGTGAATTTAGCCAGCTCTGTATGGGTGCATGTCCTTGAGGGCTGAGGGAATTATCTGGAAAGCTGGGGCCTATTTCACATGTCTAGGTTGTCAGGCTCTCCTACTCACCCTCCCAAAAGTCAGCTGGATAACCCATACCAATATGCCAAAACATCTAGTGATAACACTGACAGAGTACTGTTTGCAGGCACTATGAGGAGCCCTTTACATGGATTACTGCAATCCTCCTGGAAGTTCTGAAACGCTGGAATTATTCATTGTCTTACAAGTGAGCAATTTATGGCTTGGAGGATTCACAAATGAGGAATTCAGTCTTATAGTTAAGAAATCTAAAGCTTGAATAAGTTAAGTAACTTGCCCAAAGCTGAAGAGCTAGGAAGTGACACACTGAGGAACCAACTACATTACTGAATTGTAACTATCCTCATAAAGTAAGCCTTATTACATTCTGGTCAAAGTGAGGGTCAAGGCAGGGAAGGAGATGTGAGGAATGGGTGGTCTTAGGAAGAGTCACAGAAGAGAATGCCCAGGTAGGAAACAGGATGCTAGATAACGAAGGTGAGAGGTGTGGGAAAGGATGGATGATGTCTTTCCTCTGCAACCTACTCTTGTGACATGGTTGCCCAAGGGGGATTAGGTCACAGGTAGCCACCCATACTCAAAAACTCAATAGCCCAAACCCCCTCTGATGCTCAAAGTCCCAGACCAACTCCACATAATGGAAACATGAGCAGCAGCACAAAGACCCCACCTCCCCAAGTCCCATGCAAAAAGTGAGAAGAGCTTCTGAAAGCCAGCAGCTTTCTTCTGCCTTACTCATCTTGTCAAGTGTGAGAGCAGAAAAAAATGGCTTCAGCAAAGGAAAATAGCACATACAACTTGGCCTTCCTGGCTGCAAATATCAACAGGGACATCACAGACCCTTCACAACTCTGAGAGAGGAAAATCTCCTTCCCCACACCCAGCTCTGGCCAGGGACAGAATGGCAGTGGGGAGAACTGCTAGGCACTTCAGGTTTTGTTCCCAGCCTTCCCCTGGTCCCTGCCCATCTCCCCAAACCCTTCTCCTCATGAAGCAGGCTCTCTTTCTTCCAAAAAAAAAAAAAAAAAGCCTTATCTCTGATTCCAGCTACCCACAAAGTCCTGAGAAAACCTTCCCAAAAAGGCAATGATTGGATCACCAAGATGCCAGAGGTGTTTATCCTTTCTAGGACAAGACAAATGCTGGAGGAGGGAACTGGGAGGGGGAGATCAGGGAGCTGAATGAGAACAGCAAGCCATCAAGTCTCTTCAGGCTCAGTCAGTGTCAGTGTCAGCTAAGGGAGAAAATGTTTCCAAGCGGGAAACATTTTTTTAACATGAGAGTCCTAATTAAAAGAGGGTTTTAAGTGCTAAGATGTGCTGACTGTTTTCAGGTTTGTTATGAGTTTCCTTAGAAAAATAAACACTGAAAAACCTGCCTTCCTCCCTCCCTCCCTTTGTGGTCACAAACATCAGAGGTCAAAAACATAAGGGCTGGCTCATCAGCCCAGCTTTCTCTAAGAGCCTCCTGTCCTGGGAGGATACCAAGGCAGTGACCTCAACACCCTAAGACAACATTCCTTTTCTGAATATCCCAAGCCAAGATGGAAGAGATGTCTCCAGGTTACTCAAGAAGAAAGCTAGAAAGGGAGTGGATATTAAAGTTCCATTTCCCAGTGAAACCGGATGTTACACAAAAAAGGCAAAAATAGCCAAGACCCAGGGGAAAGTCCTGAACAGAGAGGTGGGAGGTTCCAACCCATGAGCTGTGTGAGCTGGCAAGTACCTCTCCTTCCTGGGAGAGTGACACAAACTGTTAGTACCATTCCCCATTAATCCCATATTGGGAACTGGGAAAGTACAGCATGAATAATGCTATCTACCTTAGCACTTAGGGGTTGGTCAGGGGATAAAATAAGACTTGTGAAATGCTTTCAAAATTAAAAAATCCAATATAAATCAAATATACTCAAGTCCTTTTGGACTTTTTTCTACAACTACCATAATGACTACTACTCTTATTGTGTACTCTTTCCTTGGGGATAGGGCAAGGGGCAATGTGCCCTAGTAGTTTACTTTGGAGAACTACCAATATCTCTGATCCAGATAAATTAACATTGTCTTGAGTGGCTGATCTAACAAGGACAAGAAATCACTTGAACATACAGAGAAAGAAATATAAAGGGGAGAGAAAGAAGGAAGAGAAGAAAAGGAAAGCATTATAGTTTATAGTCATTGATATTCATACTTCATTGTTTACAAGGAGAGGATCACTCTCACTATGATACATTTGTTGTTGTTTTTACAGTAACAAGTTGGAGCAAAACTCTCAAGATGAACATTTGTCCTCCAAGTTAACAATAAGTGGAAAGAAAGAGCAGCAGAAAAGTAAGAATGAAATTGTTAGTCACTAAAAAGAACTATAAGTAGTGACTTAAATCTTCCCCATGCAGTTGCAGAGAAGAAAATAAGAAAGTCCTACTACAGTCTTCCTGCACTTGCTAGACCCAAAACCCATTCTTCTTCTTTCATTCTTGGATGTCAGACTAAGTGTGAGCTGGTCTACCTTCCGAATGTACACTCTGGCATATGTACCAGTTCCTAGTATTTCCCTCTATCTTAAGGCTGCCAAATTTAGCAAATATTTGGGACATACAAATACTAACTAACAATTACCTGATGTTTAATCCAAATTTAACTGGATGTTTTATATATTTATCTGGCAACTTTAACTCCCCCTCCACCCACTTTGACCAACAACCAGCCTCTTCCACTAGCAGTGTTTGTCCAACTTGCTACCATAACAACCCATTCTGATACAATAGGTCCAGGGTCCATCCTGGGAGCCTTTATTTTTAACAAGCACCTCACACAATCTCCACTACCAGGTGAGTTGGGGGAGAGGGGTGTCTAGAATCTAACAACACACCACTAAGGCCAGGACTACAAGTTGAATCTCTGCATGAACCTGGCCACTTTGCTAGATGCACAGACCAGAGTCAGCTCACCACTCCAACCCATGTCAGTATCTACCCCTCCAAGAACACACCCTATGCAGATGGACCCAAAACATCATGTTCATGCACATTGGCTATGTTTTCCTATTACCCAGCCAAGCGCTCACTATTACACACCCAAGAGCTGTTGTCCCCTAAGGACCATGGGAAAGCTGAGCCCAACCAGTTGTTTTCCCAGGCACTGCCAGTGTTGCCTCAGTCAAGTCAGGGGAGCACTGAGCTGCACCCCAGCCCCAAGTTTGTGCTTTGTTTGTTTGTTCGTTTAAGTTAAGGGCCAAGGCACTTTCAACAGTTAAACTTGGCCAGTGCAGGGGAAGTCCTGCTCCCTCAGGAAAAAAGATAGCAGTCATGTTTGGATGACAGTTCAGGATTCCCACCTCTATCCTCCCTGGTTGACACGTTTTTGTCCCACAGAGAGCTCCTCCACCCTTCCTCGCTCCCTCCTCCCTCTGACTTAGTGAAAGCTGCAGTCATTCACTATAGTCCACTCTGCTGGAGAATATCTCATTGGGCTTTCCACCACCCCTGTTTAGCTTTCTTTGGTCCTGGCTTCACCCATTTCCTGACTCCACCCCCCCACCCCCGCATCTCCTACCACATGCTTTGATCCTACCCTGCCCCAGAGGACCAAATTCACCATGGTCACCCATAAATATTCCACATTTGCATCTCTGAAATCTGTTCACGTGATCTAAAGGTTTTGGCTGGTCAGACCTCAACCCTGGCTAGTCCCTATCAGATCAAGAGGGGTAAAAATGGATTGGGAGGTACATAACAGACTCTCCAAGAACTAAGACGGTTTCCCTTTCCGCCAAACCCCCCCAGACCCTCTAGGCTAGAGTTGCCTGTCTTTTCACTTGCTTTGGGCTGAGAAGGAAGAAAGGGAAACAACCTTTGAGTGACAGTAGTCTTCTCCCCTGGCTTCCCTCTCCAGCCAACTTGAGGCCACACAATCCAAAGAGGACATCCTCAGCATCCCTCTCTCTCTTCTTCCGGGATTCAGTTGCAGAGTTGCAACCTCCTTACAGAAGGAGCTTAAAAGTATCACGATGGAGACCAAAGGAAGAAGCATATGGCAAATAAGAAGGGAGGAGGTCACATCACATTTGAGCCCCGAGCACAGGCCAGAGGGGAGGGGCACCTGCAGGGTAAGGACCCACCCTCCCTCCCATCCTCTTTCCTCCAGCCCCAGGGAATGTTTCATTTGCTAAATGAAGTCAATATGCCCCAGATGTTGGGCAGCTACCTCTGGAAGCAGTTCCCGTGCTGAACAGCACACAGGCCAAAGCAGAGCGTTGAGCTGGCCTCAGATGCTCTGGCAGCTCTCCTATTCTAGGATAACACAGCCTCCAGGTTCCCTCCTCCCCCAGCCTACCAAAGAGGTTGCCTTTTTAGGAAACTCAGCAGATCACGGAGAGAAGCAGACAGAGACTGAGGGGCCCAGCTGAAGTAGTCAGGCTAGAGCAGTCAAAAAAGTATAAAAAGCAGGAGCATGCTACATGACAGAGAGGGTGCCTCAGGTGGCTGAGAAGCAGCCAGGCCAGAAGCTCAGGTAGCCACCTGCCAGTAGCCAGTGAGTCAGCCTCAGACTGTAATTACTGAGAATCTCTCCAGCCACATTCACCCCTCCTGCATCCCACCAGCTCTTGCCAGCTCCAAATTCCCAACCCAGCCACAAACATAGCCATCCCCTCAGACACACTCATTCCCTAGAGCCCCAGACACAACAAACCCTCTGCCTAGACACAGCTAACCCTTTCCTGTCACCCTCCCATCCTCACCAATGGGCCTGGCTCCTTCCCTCATTGATACCTAGGAGAGGGAAGGAAGAAGAGAAAGAGAGAGGCCCAATAATCAGAGAGAGGAGAGAAAAGACCCTCTGACTAAACATACCACACACAAGTGAGAGATTCCACTTCTATCTGCCTTTTTTACATCTGCAAGAAAAAAAAAAAAAAGAAAGAAGCCAGCACCTCCATACCTCTAGTCCCTTCTCCCTTTCCTTTTGAGACCTGAGGCCCCTCTTTCCTGGGATGTTCCACTCCAACAAAGAGCAAGCAAAAGGTAGCAAGAACTGAGGCCTAACCCAATTAGCAGGCAGGATGGAAACATCTCAGCAGGTGTCATTACCACCATGACAGCTCTTCACCACCCATCGGTGGGTAGGCTTCACCCTCCTCTTGCTCAGAAGAGACAAGGGACTGTGTATTAAGGAAGGAAAGAGCCCTTTCTGACACAAAAGCATCTAAGTCTTGGAAAACAAGGTGAGACGTTACCTCATCTGAGCACCAGGCGCACACAGGACTCACAGCCAGACACTGTTGGCAGGAGCTCACTCCTCGTGAGGTACAGAGGTTGGACCCTGCAACAAAGAGACAAAGACATTTGATGTGCACCTGATTTGGCCCAATGAAGTAACTGATCTGCCCCATCTTCCCCTACTTTCTCAGGGATGTGGTCCAGGTTAACATCCATCAGGTGCACATGAACACACCCTAACCACACCATAGACATTTACCAAACACAGGCTATTGGTAAGGAAGAAAGAGAATGGAGGAAGATCAGGAGAAACCCATCACCCTCTTCAACTGATGTAGCCGCAGTGACAGCAGGTAATAGGGCTGAGCCACAGACTCCAAGTATCGGATCACAACTGATGGAAAGGCCTTAATTAATGACTGGTTTAATACCTAAATTGTGTAAATGAATATTTAAAGCCCAGAATAATGGTGATGTGTCCTCTCAAATTACTTTACTGATATTCACAGCCACTACGTACAAGATCTAAGGGTCAGCATAGTTAGCCTAAGTATAGTGGAGCAGGAAGGGCAGGGTGACTTTAGTGGCAGTGTCCCACCAGCCTCCTGGGGAAGAGGAAATCTGAAAACTCTGTAAGCTTTACAATACATAGATCTTGGAATTCAAGCATAAAATGCTCCAAGAACTACAGAAATAGTAGAAAAAGTTGACTGACAGAAGCAGGAAGAACGTGGAATCTTGGAGTTGGAACCCAGGTCTGTGTTTAAATTCTGAGTGCTATTCTTACTAGCCATGTCATGACCTTGATCAAATTGCCTAATCTCTATGGAATAACATATCTACCTCACAGGATTTATACAAGAATTCAGGAGTCACAAGGTATTCTTCAATATGCCATTCAAATGTGAACAGTTCTCATACTGACAAAAGGCAGAGAAAATGCTAGGGGAAGGGGCAGGAACAACCAAAGGGACCAAAATAGTCCTAAGAAGCCCAGCCAGGAAGCAAGCCCCAAGCATTTGCTTGTAAAGAAGCCACAATTTTCCCTACTCCCCTAGCTCAGCTTCCCTGCCGCAACCATGTGAACCCCCTCTGCCAGGAGTTGACCCCTGGGATACCTTTTCCAATACAAGATACAAGAGAAAGATCCATTCTTCCCTTGACCCCAGATATCTGAACAGTTCCTTTATTCAATTTGCTGAGGGCCTCCTTTGCCCCCAGCTGTTAAGACCAGCAAATCTATTTCTGGGGACATCAGCCTAACTCATTGGGGTATTTTCCCAGTATCCCCAAAATGTATCATCTAGCCAAATGCCTCAATCTATTTTATTATAGTGTGACTAAACTCCCTCCATTCTAACACCTGGACAGACAAAAACACACTCAGAAGATGACCTACCATGGTTAGAGATTATCTATACCTTTGTTTGACTTCTGTTGATATTTTGCAACTCTATGAGAGTAGAGACACAGAAAACCAAGGACAATATAAATGATTCTTGATAAGAACAATATATATAATTCTTACCCAACAAAAATGACAACGATTTATGTCTGATAGAAAAGGTAAGCCCCAAAGTTAAGATTTATTGCCTTGTAGACATTAACCAATTTTAAGCCTATTGGCTAATTCTTTTCTACATTTCTTTAACCAATTATAAATCTCCATTTCTAGAATTCACTTTTGAACTAGTCCCAACACCGTACTAGTTCCCTAACTATTAAGATGAATAAAATCTTTGACACATGTTCAGTTTTTACTTGTATGAGAATCATGCTTTTAAGTCTTTGCAAATTCTACTTTAAAGGCTGAATGTGTACCTCAGTGGTAGAACACACGCTCAGCATACATCTACCCAGGGTTCTATCCACACCACAGAGGAAGAAAGACAGAAAGAGACAGAGAGAGAAATTACACTTTAACAGTACATGTACTACGTGACTCGGAACAGAGAATCTAACACAAAGGGGGCACATACGATTGGTAATCTGGTCCTAACTGAGTCACCCACCAGTAGTGTGACCTTGAGTAAATCATTTAATTCCTTTCGGTACCATTTTTTCAATTCTAATATTCCTTACATATTATCATTATTATTATTTATTTAGTATCTGCCTTAATTATACTGCCACCCAATAGATTTAGGTCGCTTGGGGCCTGCTCTGCTCAGACCAGACCCAGTTCTTATTCAAAAGAGAAGGTCAGTAAATATGAATTGGAGCCAACGGTATTGGACTAAATCAGCTTTGTTTTGTGTAACTGAGCTTATTTTACATAGAATTTTAATATAAATACGTAAATGAGTCCATCAGACAATTTAGACTTTGATCTCCCCCAAACACCAGATTATATGTGAATTCTTGGAGAAGCTTCTGGAAACTCCAGATTTTCTCAGAGCCTTGGGTCTAAGTTCAAAGGCTCAACTTTATTTCCAAGTGCTGACACCCTGAATTCAAACCCCAGTCACCAAAAAAAAAAAAAAAAAAGGCTTAACTCTAAACTACCATCAATGGGATCCACTATGAACTCAAGAGTAACTTCTGGGGTTCCATCCTCTGACTTGGCTGCAACCTGAGCATGTGTGTGAGGACTGCGGGTAGGAATCATGACATTGGTTCCAGGCCAGGCTCCAAAGCATGAAGGTCACCTCTAAGTTGGGACATACCTCAGCCATACAATGTCTATGATAGAAGAAAGGCAGCAAATCTTCCCAGAACTGATAGCTTCAGAGTATCTTAACTTTCAGAACCAACCAGACAACCAAGGCTTCTCCCTGCAAAGGCTGTCTGGCCATATGTTAGCCTCACAATTGGTCTCCCTTCGCTATGGGAGAAGCCTAGCTTGAAGTATTTTAGGTATCTCCCTCCCTTTTTGGAGTTTCTATAGGGATTGGCATCCAGGGGATGATTCTAGACATAAATGTCACCACTGTTTAAGAAGGAGATAAGAAGTACCAGAGGAGAGAAGATTTAAAAGATAGAAAAGTGTGGGAGATGTGGGCACTGTGAATTTGTTTTTGAAAACTTTTTCCAGTCTATTCATTTATACATCCATTCATTCTCAACTTAGCATTTGCCTATGAGTTCTTGACTTGCAGCCACAATGGAAAGTCTTGCCAGATGTGAAATAAAAAACAGCAGGCCCCTCCCAATGTATGAGTGGTCCCTGACCCCAGAGGATGAGCTAAGCTGCAGGGATTTGTTCTGTAGGAAGTCATGCCTGGGTGTCATGGTTACCCAGTTCCTTTGATGCCTTCTTTTTAATGAATCACAGGTTGATTTCGTGAGAACCCATGATCCCCCTAGAATGCCCCCAACCAAGTCCTGCCACTGAGGGCAGGGTCCCTGGAATGCAGTGGTTGAAAGTGACTGACTCATCAGAAGTCTCAGAGCTGGGACCAAGCTGATTCAATGAGTTGCTATTCCCAGGCCATCCTTCCCTTCCGAACATGTGGAAGGAGTCTGGGCCTCTGTCTCTAGTCATTCATAAAGCCTGTGAAGCCCAGAAAGCCCTGCAGGACAAGTGAGGATCCTCACCAGAATACCAGTAAAAACAATGGACAACTCCCCACAACCCCTTCCCTCCCACAGCTCACCCAGAGCAGCAAAACAAGTTGAATTGAGCTTGCTCCTTACTGGGTTGTAAGGATAAAATGAACCAATCCCAGGGAAATTCTTAAACCAATTTCTGGCACACAGAAAGTACTCAATAAATGCTTCTGTTATAGTTGCTACTGTTGTTGCTGTTGCTGTTTTTATCCTTGGTTTTACCTGTTTAGAGTGGGTAAATGTTTTACTTTTTTATTTCTTAAAAATAATTTTATAGGGCATGAAGCTAAGTATGCCCTGAACGGAGTGTAGGAGTCAGAGAAAAAATAACCGGAGGCCAGATCTGGCTTCTAAACAGGTTAGGAATAATAATGTTTTAAAAATTCAATGTAGAAGGGTGGCGAGAAAAGAAGGTCAATAGAAAAGACAAGCAAAGCCAGCCAAAAAGTTTGCCTGGAAAGTAGAAGTTGACGGCTGTGGTTTGGCACATCAGTCTAAGTCACAGGGCCAGAACAGAGTCAAAGGGTGGGAAAAATAGAGGAGGGGAAAAAGGAAACAATGAAGGGATTGGAACCAGTGGAAGTCACAAAGCATCAATGAAGGCTATTTTGAGGACATGTTATCCAATAAGACAGGATGTCAGAATGCAGGGACAGGCCACCCTGCTGAAACCAGGGGACTTCAAGAAAGGGCTAAGTTAGAGTGACAAAGGAGGATGGTCTGGGCTGCAAGCATCACAGGCATCCATCTTACTGCCTGTCAGAAAAGAATTCTAAACTGGATCCTTGACCCTGCCACTGGCCTTTAGTCACTTCCCAATCATGACTCAGATGGCCCCTGATATTCCATTGCATTCACCTGACTGGCTGAGTAATGGAAAAACAAAACAGCTCATGCTAACTGCCTTAGCATGTTGCAAAGAAAGTTTATTTTGTTTTCATTCCTTCCTTCCAGGTAATGGTTGCTCAGTAACCCAAGAAAGGGGAAGGAACGAGAAGGTGGTCTTCAAGGCAATACATACCTCTGGGCTCTGAGCAAAACACCCCAGAAGCATCAACCCAAGGCATTAGGAAATCCAAACTACCATATTTCATCAAATCTGGGATGTAAGATTATCTGATTTCAGAGATTTTAAATTGTTTTTAAGTGCACCAGGGCCAGTTAAATGTATTTAACATTAGAAAGCATTTATGTGTAATTGGTCCCCACAAATATTAAAATGTGTTATGGGTTAGATTATATCTGCAAAAAGATACATTGATATTCTAACGCCCAGTTCCTGTGAATGTAACCTTATTTGGGAATAGGACCTTTACAGATGTAATCAAGACGAGGTAATTAGATTGAGCACTAATCCAGTTATAATGGTGTCTTTATAAGAAGACGAAAACATCACATGAAGACAGAGTCACAAAAAGAGAATCCCACATGATAACAGAGACACAGAGACCAGAGTGACACAGCTGGAAGCCAAGGAACACCAAGGATTGTTGGCCACCACCAGAAGCTAAGGAAAGATTCTACCCAGAGTCTCAGAAAGCTTGGCCATGCTAA